AACCATCCTGCATACACTCCACCGTACTTTGGCGACAAACAGGTGTATCTTGGTCTGATTGGATTCGCCATTTTTGAATTCGGTGAGGTTTCACACGGTTTTGGTCTATCTCACTAATTGCAGTTGACCCTATATAGACCCTGTGTGTTCTGACTAAATTAGAAGTCTAGGAAAGCAGGTCGGATACAGTACCCCAAGGGGCGCGTTGATCTGAGTGCCTGCGAGCCCCGAATGCGCACAGTACCACACAGTATTCGTTTAGGCAGCTTCTGGCCACAGGTGAAATGCGCATTTTTCATCGTTCTCGCCTCCTGGCCTCAGCCAGGTGCTCATCCTCCGATTGTTTTTCCGGGGAGTTCGGGTCAATTAAGAAACGTACATCAACCCAATCAGCTTGAGGTATGCCCCCTTGTGTGCGCTCACCAAGCCAACAGATATAATTTCACGCGCAGTTGTTGGGAGTACTGTGTCCCGCCTGTTTCCTAAACTTATAATCTTTTGAAGTTTTGCATTCTAGTAACATGGGGCGTTTGGTGCAGAACATCCACAGATTTTGAAACTAAAGTAGCCTTTTCCTCGTTTGTGAACTCTTAGCAAAAGTAATTACCCACTTACTCTCCAATAAGATGTCGTTTAAACTTCGATCGTGTGAACTAATAGTATCGCACACTCATAGTAAACCAAGAAAGGTGAGTGGCAAGGTGTGAAGGAACGATTGTGAGCCAGGGTATAGGAATTTGCCGCTGTTCGGCTTAGGTGGCGCATTTTGCGCTTCCGTAAACCTTGGTACGGGATTGGGCGTGCATCCGGTGTGTGTTACAAAATACGAAAACCCTTCTTCATCGAAGAACTTGTTTATTGGTAAATTGGGGAACGCATTATTTTGAAGGCTCGGTAAATACGCTTATCCTCCAGCTCGCAAACTTTGCCCTACGTCCTACGATATTGTAAAAAATTCAATGAAACGGCGTGGAAACGAAGCTAGTAACATTCAGTGCCATTAGCGAATTCCTGCTGTAAGTTAATGATACCGTAACCTGCACAAACTACTGCACCGAGATGCCCCACCTTAGTGGAATGGTACTAGGTACCACTTACTCTCACTCTTTTCAGGTAATCTTTCGATCCATATTCTGCTACGCAACCTCCGTCCACCAGGAACACGCGAACGTCGCATTCCTCGTCCAGACGGAAATCCAATGAGCTTGCTTTTCAACTTTGTTTCGTGCCCCAATTATACATACGAGGCATTGTCATGGCTGTCATTCACTATCATGGTGCAAAGCCTTCCCAGTGAGTTTGTTCGATTGTTTCAGTTGTTTTAACCTTTTTTTTTTTGCGACGTTTATGTCCTCTACTCCAGTTTTCAACATTTACAACTTCCCTCCAGAGAAAACTTTCAACCCAGAAAACAACCAATGGTTTGTTATGTTGCTGACCTTCTGCTCAAGCAGCTAGCTCATGAGCTTGCGTCATTATATACCAGTCAGGTTTCCATGGTGGGACGTTTCTACTTGGATCAACGTTCTGGCGAAGTCGCCTTCTTGAAGAGCCTGGGATCATATTGACCCTAATACTGTAAAATTATCTTGCCTGACTTGTTTACTGTCCTCGGCCGGTTGCAAATTTGTTGGTGAAAGCCAAGCAGAGTAGTATTCCAGTAAGAAAACGTCTCACCTCGATCCCAGCAGGACAAGGCGCCTACTCACTGAACTCCCCGCTAACCCACTGAAATGATATGATAGAGACGTTACGATATCGTGTCATTTCCCCAAGCGCATGACGATCTACTGCCACTGGTTGTCAGCGACTTTTGCATGAATTCTTGGGGGGAAAATATGAATTGCTTTGGTATTATTATAGCAAGTCGACACCCTACACCTTTTCCAATGATCTACATGCTTGTGTTTCCAGTTGAAAAGTCAACTGCAGGGAGACTAGTTGTGGATGGTTCAAATTGCCACATGGAATACCCCCTTTCCCACTGTTTTTGGTTTTAGGCCTGTCGTTCAACGCCAACCTCATGTTTATTTATGCTGAAGCAATTTTTCTGTCAACAACTGCCGCATTTCCGTTTTTATCATGTCTGCTATGCCTGCAGGTGCACAGCTGTGAATGTATCGGGAACACCTGTTGGAATTGCTGCAGTTGTACTGAGTGGATGTGCTATAGTAGTCATAGGGTTAAACCACAATAATACTGTCACATTAGATTGATATCAAAAGTCTGTTCTTTCAGTCCAGTAAACAGTTTTTTCCATCACTTCCCTTTCCATAACCTCTGATATAA